GAGCTTCCAGGGTCGTCCGCTGCGCTCTGGTCACGCAACGCGCCGACCTTGGCCTTTGCTCGCTGCAGGCCGCGCTCCTGGGGGCTGCGAGGGCCGCGGGAATGCGTTCGTGCCGATGTGATGTTTAGCATTGCCTGTCCATGTGTATGAAGAGCAAGAAAACAAGCAGAAGTGCTTCATATTTTCTTTCCCTTTTGTTTTAACTGCAGGTGAGTTACTTCACCTCGCTGTCCAGACAACAGGAGTTTGAAGGAAATACCAAGAGCGTGATCCCGCTTTTCTCCGTAACGTACTTCTTGACAATAACCTTTTCGATCATCTCTTGCCTGAGGTAAAATGTCTTCTAAGCTGTAGATCAATGAGGAGCGACCTCCGCTCTTCTTTGCCTTGCCTAAATTGGTTTCTGCTCTTGTAAAGTGAAGTCATTCTTGAAGCTGCAGACTTCGTGTAGTAACAGCCAACATGTATTTGTTTGCTGATTCGCTCCTACTTGTGCTTGTTGGAAATGGCTTAAATGGGGCTCACAATAAGTACCCGAAAAAACACCTGAATGAGCATTCAGTTCAGACCCGCACAGCTGGAATGCCAGTATCCATTCATCTGTTCTCTGAAGCCATCAGTCTTTTCTGTAGTCCCTGCCTCATAAGAATCCTTTTTGCAGCTGATGGTTTTGGAACTATTGAAACAACTGAAACAACCCCCTAATCTTCATCATTTAAAGAGGTGTGAGATGCTGTAGCTTTGGCACTGAAAAACACTATGCTAAAGTAAAACGCTTTTAATGATGAAAGGGTTCTACTTCACCCTGTGTGGCAAGGGGGCCAGAAGCAGGATCTAGCCAGCCCGGCAGCAGCAGAATTCTGCACAAGCTCTTCTGTTGTGTAAAACTTAGCAGCTCAGCTTTGGCATATCCAGTGGAGACATTCACTGAAAAGATGCATAAAAGTCAAACAGAAAAGTAATCATTCGGCAGGAGGGAAGGAATAACTTGTGCTATTGCTAAGGTTATTCTACTAGTTTTTTGCTTCATTTGTAGCTTCTGTCTTCATCCTGCCTAAAAGATACTAATCCTTCGTAAAGATCAGTAAAAAAGGGGAAGGAAGCAGGGGAGGGAGGAGGGGGTATACCATGTTAAGATGCATTTGCACCTTTTTTTTCTGCCACCTGCTCAGTTAAGGTACAGATGAATGAGCACTAGCTTCGTAGGTTACTGCAAGTCTGGTACAGCTTTCGGTATTCTGCTTGCTAGAGCTTTACCTGCTGTCCACAAAGAACTTACCCTGCCCTTTCGTTGTGCTGGTGGAAGGTGAACCATTGTATATTTGATAGCTGTACGGCAGCGTGTGTGTTTGGTGTGCTTGAGAAATAAAGTTCTACTCGGAGGGTGGGCTTATTGGTTTAATGCTTGCATCAAGCATCATGCCCATTGGGCTACACAGTTTCTGGATATCAGCTGTCTCACGTCCAGTCATTTCTGAGTGCAGAGCAAGGGCCATTCCAGCAACACACGCTTCTTGCCTTGGAAGCAAGAGGTTCCCTTAACGTTCGGATGTGGTCTTCAGTCTGGAAATGGTTACTAATCAGGCAAGAGGCAGCTCTCTACCCCCTCAGTGTGGTGCTGTCAACAGCAGCACAGATGAAGGCTCCCAGTGGGAGCCTTTCACTGGGAATCCTTGAGCTGGCCCTCCGGGGCATCTTGGCAAATGGGTGGAAGCCGATGTGTCTGCTGAGAAGGCTTCTCTACACAGCGCTCACCGCCTGAGAGATGCTTCTGTGCTACACTGATATGCTACACCAAGAACCTCTGTAAAAGGAAAGAGCTTCTAAAAATTCAGCAATTTTTGGGTCCCCGTAAATCTAGCCTCTCACTAGTACAGCTTACGTATCCTAATTTTGCCAGCTCTTTTATTATTGATGCAAAGATCAGTACACATCTTTACTCTAATGTATGTAACTGGCCAGCAGCAATAATGCATTTGTCACCTCCTGTGTAAATTAATCTTACCCAGTACTCACCCCCAGGAGCTCTTTCGCAGACAGGGTATTGTCGGTATCTGTGCACTTGTCTGCCAAACACCTTGGCGACATATTTGACATGTAACCAAGATATTCCTTAAAATATTTTCAGACTGAGCTGTATAAGAAATAACGTCTGGCTTGCATGCTGCGGAGTGCTTTCTGCTGGTTTAGCTGTATTAAGCAGCTTTGGATTGATGCTCATCTGTGGAGTGCCGTTTGTGGTCACTGTAGCAAATGCACCATTTCTTATTCTAGGTAAGTAGAAAAAGCGAGTCGAATTGAGATACGAAGACTAAAGCGGAGTTAAAGCAACCTGACGGTGTTAGTCTGATGCGAGTATCAGACCATACACAGTGCTGTTCTGCGGGGAGGGGACATGTGGAGGTGCAGCCTCCTCTGAGCTCCTGCAGGCACGTGAGCGGCTCAGCCCAGCGTACCCACACTGGGACTGGAGCTGGGTTCTGGCAGCAGGGCAGCTTTTCCCAAAAAATGATGCCTGCTGTAGTCCCACTGCTATGGCATTGTCATGGTTTGACCCCAGCCAGCAACGAAGCACTACACAGCCACTTGCTCACCCCCCCACCCCAGTGGGATGTGGAGGAGAATGGAGGAAAAAGCCCAGGCGTCCCCGAGCAGCGGTGGCCACCCCCACCCCCAGTTTATACACTGAACATGACGCCATATGGTGTGGAATATCCCCTTGGTCAGAGTCAGCTGTCCTGGCCATGCTCCCTGCCAGCTTCCTTTGCCACCATCCAGTGTTACCTTTTGACTTGCTGCTTGTCTTCTTCCTGGTTTCTGGCCAATCTTGTGAGATCTAAGAGCCAGTCACAAGCATTTAAAAGTCATAGTGTTTTCTAGAATAACAATTCTGTGTGTTTTCTTTTTTTGGTTTGTGGGTTTACATGGTTGGTTGGTTTTATGGTCAGGTAACGTTTTCAAACTTCGCTTCACAGTTACAAGGAACAGGCATGAGTGGGAGGGCTGAGCACTTGAGATTGCTACTTGATCCCAGTATGCTAGAAGTGGCTTTCTGAAGAAAACCATCTCATCAAAATCGTAGAAGGTGGGGCCTGCAGGGAGCCTCACAAGGTCACCCTCCGTGCTGCAAGGCAGGATCTAACTAAACCACACCTGGCAAATGTTTTTAAGAACTTCTTGAGAATTAAACAGGAAACTGTTCCTAGTAGGTAATTATCTCAACATGGAAGATAGTTGACTTTATTACTATTTATTACTATTTTTTAACAGTCGTTTATCAATTAGAGGACTGTTGTCCTGCTGTCTTCCATAGTGTTGAATGTTCCAGTACACAAGCAGATTAATGTCAAAGAGATGATACAGCCGTGGTCTGGTCCACCTTTTTTCTGGACACTATCTTGCTTGGTAGGGATGGCTGAACTTCACTTAGAGCAGCTTCTGATTTGCTGTATTTTTAAAGGCAGACATAATAGGGTAGTTGCAAGTTTAGTTTATGTAACTGTATCAGCCATTATGTTCAGCTGTACCTGCTATGCAAAATGCAGTTTCTGGGAGAGGTTCAGAGAAGACAGCCAAAGGTAAAAGCTCTTTCATCCACCTGCCAGTAATGTGCCTGTGTTCTTTGACCCGCAGCTATCCGTATGTCTTTCCTGCTAATGGACTCCATCCATCTGTTGCACATCATGCTCTTTTCTTACCTGTTTGTCATCTGTCTCTCCGTTTCCTGTCCTTCCTCACTCCACCCACTGCCACTTAACCAGTTATTCTCCATTTTATATTTGTGCAGTCCTTTTTTGTTCACGTGTTTGTTTCTGGAATGCTTTGTTCATTTTCATTGACTTACTGTAATTCTGAAAGCAATTAAAGTAGTATTTCTCCAGTTTATTTATCCGGTTTATCAAACTTCTGAATTGATTGTACCCCTTGAAGTGCTTGGAACTTTTCCCAGATGTCATTGGGAATTTAAATGTATTTTCTGTTTTCTCAATTAAAACATTGACTAGCACTGTACTACTGCTTTCCCTGAATGCCTTTGATCAAGACATCTACCCAGTTTTACAAATAATTCATCTTTGATGTTTACTGGCAATTGATTGTTCAGGCAGCAGATTGTGATTTCATCTGTTCTTTTATGCTTAGCTGTATCATCTGTGCTTGCTCCTCTGTTTGTGTGGTCTTGCTTCCCTTTTTTGTGTGATTAATTTTCAAGGAGCAGAAGAGCTCTTGATACAGTAACATTGGCAAAATACTGGAAGGTCTGTGATTAAAGTCTCGAGAAACTTTGCGGAACTGAGAGAAGCACATTGGCTCTTCCTTTTCGAACTGCATCTTGCTTACTCCTGTGTCTTAGCAAAAACTCCAGCTCAGCACCCAGTCTTCCTGGTGGGGTTTCCCAGGACTCTGCTGGGTAATGTATGTGGTTGCATCTGTATAAATGTGAAGATAAATGAACAATAAGTCATGAATGAATGCTCAAAGATAAATTGGAGAGAAGGTAAGTGGAGAGCAAAGAGCATAAAAAAGCAAGCCACTGGAGACCTGGGACCACTGTTCTCCCATGTGATAGCAACTGCTCTCCCCATCTGCTGAACACAGAGCAAAGCAAGAAAGCATTGGTCTAATCTGCTGCAGTGATGAAGAGATTCTAGAGATAGTGGGGGACACTTCTAGTGATAAGGATAGTTGAGCATCAGAATAAGCGATGTATTTAAATCTCTGTAATCACTGGACACCTGAACAGCAGATAGAACACACTTGTCAGAGATGGACTAGGTGCGCTCAGTCCTTCAGCACAGTAAGGTGAGGGATCAACAACCTCTCAGGTCACCAGGAGTTTCTGAAATGTACTAAATTCAGCTACACATGAAGGATCTGTTTAACTTGCATCAGCACTAAAGCAATGCTAATAGGCTTACTTCCTTTTTGAAAGTTTTATGTGGACTTAAATGCGATTCATTTTGTACTTTTGTTGGGTGTTAGTGGGAGCTGCCATTTGCAATGCAGCATTAACTTTTTCTCCTGTAGGAGTTGGTGTTGATGACATGTTCATCGTGATCGCTGCCTGGGAACAAAGTTCAAGAAAAAAACAGAAATCTGATGTTATATCTCGGTTGGCTGAGACATACGCAGAAGCAGCACTTTCTGTGACCATCACCACTCTCACAGACGTTTTGGCCTTCTTCATTGGCACCTGGACTGCTTTTCCATCCGTGAGATCATTTTGCCTCTACACCGGCACTGCTTTTGTCTTCTGCTATATATATACCATGACCTTCTTTGGGGCAATTATTGTATTAAATCATAAAAGGGAGGAAGGAAACCGACACTGGCTAACTTGTATGCCTGTGGGAGTAGATCAGGATCAGGCTGAGAAGTCGTGCTGGTACAACACTTGCTGTATAGGCAACTGTTCTAGGCAGTCATCTCAGCTAGAAACCAAACAGCCAGAAAGTGAACATCCAATGAGCATATTCTTTAAGAAGAATTATGGTCCTTTTTTTACAAATAAATGGATCAAGCTACTTGTGGTGTTACTGTACGGAGTGTATTTGGGTGGCAGCATCTATGGATGTACTCAGATCAGGGAAGGCATCGATCTTCGAAATCTGGCAAGTGATGACTCTTATGTTATTCCATACTATGATGACGACGACAAATACTTCTCAGCATATGGACCCAGGGTCATGGTTGTCATTACTGAAAGTGTAGATTACTGGAATGAGACTGTTCGTCTTGGCATTGAGAACTGCATGCAGAATTTAGAGGGCATTTCCTATGTAGATAAGAACCTCTCAGAGTCATGGCTGAGAACGTACACAAAACTTGCTGAAAATGGTTCGATAAATATAAGCAATAAGACTCTTTTCATTAATAACTTACCTATGCTGTTCCAAATGGTTCCCAGTTTTGAGTTAGACATTAATGAGACTCAGGATAAAATAGAAGCTTCACGTTTCTTCATCCAGACGGTGAATGTGACCTCAGCCGTGGATGAGAAGAATCTTCTCAATCAGTTGAGAGAGACAGCCGAGCAGTGCAGTATTCCATTAATGGTGTACCACCCAGCGTTCATCTACTACGACCAGTACCTGGTAATAGTGCAGAACACCATTCAGAACGTTGCCATTGCTGCCGGGGCAATGCTTGTCGTCTCCCTTCTGCTAATCCCCAACCCGCTGTGTTGCTTGTGGGTGACTTTTGCTATAGCTTCTGTTATCGTAGGTGTTGCTGGTTTCATGAGCTTTTGGAATGTCAATCTAGATTCCATATCCATGATCAACCTGGTCATTTGTATAGGGTTTTCAGTGGATTTTTCTGCGCATATTTCCTATGCCTTTGTTGCAAGTGGAGAGTCCTCTGCCAATAAAAGGGCAATTGAAGCTCTGTCCCTGCTAGGTTACCCGGTATTACAAGGTGCAGTTTCTACCATATTGGGGGTAGTTGTCCTGGCTGCAGCAAAAGCCTACATCTTCAGGACCTTTTTCAAGATAATGTTCCTTGTTATTTTGTTTGGGGCTCTTCACGGTCTTGTTTTTATTCCAGTGTTTTTAACCTTTTTTGGAAACTTTGGCAGATCACCCCACAGCACCACATCTAAAGAGCTAGAGCTTAGGTTTAGAAATGATAAAGACTGTCCGTGACTAAGTTAAATGTAAAATATTATATATTTATTATATGTAGATTAGAATGCAGTGACTTTCAGGGAATATACGAAATGAAGAAAATGAAGGACAGAAAAATTAAATACAACAGAGAAGCAAAGGCTTTGGAAAAGCCAGGCAAGAAAAGTAACAGAAGAAGAAATGAAAACACACAGAATGGATTGGCATTTCTCATTTTCGTGTGTGCTTGACTAACACTTTAATGTTGTTAAACCTTTTTTTGTGACTTGTTTACTGAATGTATTAAAACTATTACAAACACTGACCACTGCACCAGCTTAAGGGACTATGTTACGGGTTGGTCAGGCAACATACACAGGAGGGAAGAGTAACTCCCATGGGTTTGCATTTCTTGCCTGCTGGCCTTGATGCTGTCACTCAGCCCAGCGCTTTGTCTTTTCAGAGACACTCTGAAGAGTAACAACTGCAGTTAAGACCTGTCTATATCCCTTTGTAAAAGCAAAGTGAAATCAGGCACAAAACTATTTTTTGAAGAAGTACTAAATGTGCATAAAACCAGAAGTGCACTTCAGCTGATGTGTCTTTCCACACCTACTTTTATCCCTACATCCTAGAGCAATAGGTTTTTTTTACTCTGTGGAGATAAAATAAAACAAACACCACCACCAATTGCCCTACCCCCCACCCTCTACCTACAACAGCCTGGGAATTCTTATATGAAATTCTTTGCAAAACGTATCCTGAACTTTCCTGCAAATTTCTATCTGCAAAGAATGTTATGTTTCCTTCTCATTCCAGTTTTTTCTGTGGAACCTTCCTACCTGGAAAGAACCAACAAAACCAAATCTGGGTGTGTTATTTCATCACTAAGGCAGCTGAACAGTCTACTGTGGAAGCAGCTCAGTAATAATGGGTAAATGTTTATTTTAAAAAGATACAGGTCTTACAGGGCTCCAGAGCTGAACAGCAAGTTTTGCTCATAGGAGGAGGAACAGTTCTTGAAATAGTACTCAAAGACTGAAAACTAGTATCAGTCTTAAAAGATATCTGCTCCTGAGGTGGAAGTCAAAACGCTGTGCTACTACAGCCCGTGTGGTACATCACTGCATCTCAGTATTATAGCCAGCAGCATCAGATTTCCAGGACAGGCACTAACCACAAAGCCAGATTTAAGAAAAACAAAACAAAACCAACAAAACCCAACACCGTGCACCAGAGTCCTCACTTCTCCCATTAAAAGCTTCTAAGTCCACATTAGTGCTTTTATTATGGCAAATGATACAGCCATTTCTGCACTCATGAAGCTGCTGAAGGAGCAGATGATGTACTCACGTTGGCCAACACCAGAGGAAGGCATCTTAATAAATAGTAGACAGAAGGAACAGGAGTCATGCTCTTGTAAAAGAGAATGGAAATCTGAGGGAAGCAGTGCGAGTGGCCTACTTACAGTGAGTGCTCTCACCTCTTGCCCTGTTCTTTGGCCACGTTTTAGAAGGAAAAATAGCTCTACGTGCTTCTAGGAAAGGTTTCTGAGCAGGGCAAGAGAGCAGAGCTTGATTGCTCTATTTTCACAGCCAGTTAAGGGATGACAATTTAGAAGACTGTTGTGACATTTCAGCTGACTTGGGTCATCACACAGTAGGAAGCAGCCAGAAAGAGCAGGCCACATCTTTCACTGGAAGTTGCATCTTTGTATTAAGCTTGATGGCAGAATTCCAGCATAAGTCAGCCTTCGGAATGCAGAAAATTCAGAACCACACCCGAGTTTTAAGTTCTTATTTTATGTGCGACCATGCTTGTGACCAGTTTAGGGCTATTTCAAAAGCCAGCAGTTCATCGAAGCACCCAGCATCTGACTGATGTTTGGAAACTGCCTTTGTAGTCTCCTACCTCTGTCCAGTGATTCCGAGAGGAGTTTCAGCTCCTACACGCACCCGAGAACACCAGAGGTCAATCCCCATGCCTGAATAGCCAAGTTTCTTTGAAACCCCCCAGATACCACAGGCACGCAACCATCTAGGGATGACAGTAAACTCTTCAGTAACACCTCTGCCTTTAGGTTGGTCAGAAAGCAATGATACCTTTTACAGGTGATGGCTAATCTCTAACAATCTTCTTTCATGACCCAATGAGATATTACCTTTTTTTTTATGTTTGAGACTGTGCTCTCTTCTTTGCATATAGCAAGAACCTTTTGAATAAGAGAGGTAAGTTAGACCTCAAGGACTTACCCCTGAAACCAGATCATTCAATACAGATTTTAGTGACTTCAAAACTGAAAAGTTTTTTGCTTTTGTTTCTAAAAGCAGATTTATATTATTTAGCTGGAAATGTTCCCATCCAAGTCCCACTACTGAAACAGCAATTGAAAAAAGGTCTGAATTTCTAGGGAGAACAATCCCTAGAAATCTAATTAGAGAGAGTACAATTTTGCCATCATTCTTAAATTTATTTACAAGTTCAAATGTTTTATACACCTCAATTTACATAGTAGGGAACTTGTTATTACACTTTATAACAATTTACAGTGAATAAAAGGAAAACCAATATGCATAATTAAAATTAACCTTTATTACTCCAAAAACAGATGCCAAAATATGCAATATATTTCTGTTTCTGTTGGCATATTTCTAAAATACATGTACAACTGTAACTAGTCAGCCTAGACATTTGGTATACTGTTTTATAACATTTGGAAGTTCTCCCACACTGCACTGGGATGTCACTATAGTAAGCTGACAAAAATAGGGAAATAGAAAGTTATCCTGGTTTTGAAAGGAAAAAAAAAAAAAAAGCATGTGCTCTTACTAAAAAACTAGGTTACAATCAAGCATTACACTCAGAAAATTCTAAAATACTATGTTACTTTTAGTTTTAAGTGTAGCTACCAATTTCCATTCACATTTATTGGCACCAGCCCAACTATTTGAATGACCAAGTACGGTAACCTTCAACATCAATGCACTAATAAAGGCCCTCTCTGCAACAGAAGTTTATCGTCCCAAGACGCTACAATTACTTGTGCAGAAAGATTATGATCAAGATGTGTTATTCCTAAAAACCAGTTCCATGAGATCAGAATAATACTGGCATATAACTGCTAGCAATCACTTCCACTTGATTGGAAACCTCTTTTGTTTTCAAAAACTTTTTCTTATTATCTTAGAATTTCCAGAGGTTTCTGTAAGGGTTGAAAGAAAAGGTCTTATTTCCCTGCTTGCACCGTAGAACAGAACTGGGAATGTGATTTGAAACAACACATGCTTTGAACATTTTCTGAACCACTCTTTAGTGAGCAACATTGCCCTCTAAAGAAATTACCTGTTGGATTATCAAACGCCCATACATAGTATTAGAAGAAACTAGTTCTGTAGAATCTCCAGCAGTGTAAAAGCACTGTCATCAAAGCACTGTTATCCACCTACTGCAGTAATAAAAGAAAATCTAAGAATCTTGTCAGCAGCACATCAGAGGTCACAGGTATTTCTCTTATCCCTGCCACACTTCTGCCCAAAACATGGTCCAGAGAGACTCAGACATGTTTAGCCTGCTGGTTTTGCATTAAAATTTCTCTCCCACCCATACATGTGTGTATTTTAACCCCAAGAACACTGAAAACACAACCACTAATGTTTCTGTCTAACATGGAGCTCCCACAGCTCTCTTTAATAGGCATGCACTGTGTAGCCACTTCATTCTTAGAGATGTTTTGTTACATTTCTAAATAAGAAGTCTTCTTTAAAAGTGATCCCTAGCTTCAAACAGAGTATGAGCATCAGTTAGACTACATACTACTGTTTTACAAAGCAATCTGTCACTATCCCTAAAACATTCCATAGCACTTGTTGTGGGGTATCACTTCAAACGCACGTGTAGCAGCATGACCCAGGAAGCTATGCCAAAACACACCAGTGTATCTGCACATTTTTCTTCTCAGCTTCAACACATTTGACTAAGCCAAAATGCTGAATTCAACCCTGAGATTTATCCTTCTGAATAACTTCTTGTGGGAAGAGTACACGGAGCAGAGGATGAGGAACTTGCTTTATTTTGTGTGTCTTATTCTGATGAGACACAACAAACAAATAAGGAACAGAAGCTCACAAGAGACAGAATAATATTAAAGTGTCACTAATGCCATACACACATCAGGAAGGGAAGAAAGGCTATGCTGCATAAGACTACTGCATTGCTAGATGTACATTCTTCAAATTATCAGTTACTGTATCACAGAAGTTATCATCTTACTTCTAGTTTTTTCCCCTCTAGAACAATTTGGATTTCTTTGGCATCCAAAGTCTCGTATTTCAATAAAGCTTCTGCTAAATTCTTGTGTTCTTTTGCATGAGTCTTCAGGATGTTCTTTGCTCGCTCATATGAGTCCTGAAGGTGGAAGGAGATTTTAAGGCTTTAGAACAAGAACAACAGCAAGATTCCACTTTAAAAATTGTTTCCAGGTAAAAACAGCTTGAAACAAACATTTAAAGTTGTGCCTTACATTTCATAGCTAGCACAACTTCTGTCTCACGAAGATTTAAAATTTAGCTGTCATAATTAACTACAGAAAAACAAAAAACCCTGAACCTTCATGCCAGCTTTGCATTTTACAGAAGGAAGACTAAAAATAAAATCCTGAGACAAACCTCAGTATTTTTACATACGACTTAGAAAAGATTTACTAGATTTGAAAAGTTGCTGATTAAATATATTTGATTTTACATTATGAGCAGTGCTACAGCATTTCAGGAATGTTCCTCAAAGACCAAAGTTTTAAAAAGTTTATCAAGCTGTCTAAGTATTATGTACTTTTGGAAAGCTGAAAGCTACCTACCAAGCTACCAGGTGCTGCAAGCAGATGCACACTGCCAGCATTACCAGCTTCACCTTTAACTTTTATCTCTACATATGCAGATAGTTCTTGCATGACCAAGTCAGTTCAAAAACAGCTACAACAAAAGTGTTAATCGTTTAAATGTTATGATAGAAATAATTCTCCTGCCTGTACCAAACTAATTCAG